CGGTCAACATCTGGTACTTTCATTTATTTGAAGATATTTTTAAGTGCTCGGCATATCAAATATCAAAGGTGCTAGCCAATTCAACTTTTAATTTAATGAGAATAAAAAATAAAACAATCACACAGAAATCAACTGATTTCTGTAGTGTTGTTTGCTGAGATCTTAAAGAAGTATTTTGCTTTGAAAATTATTAAATATAATAGAAGAGTATTAGTGTTAGCATGATTCAGTTTCAAGCTAGATTTTAGCATTACTTAATTTTATATCTTTAATAAAAGTTTTGTTGTAATTAATATAAAAGCTGGTTTTCTCTTAACTACAAATAGTTAAAGAAGTATACTTAAACGACTGAATAATAAAGTTGGATATTAACACCTCAGGTATTATTATATCTTGTAATAAATATCTACATGGTTGTATGTTGTTTTTGACTGAGATACAATAATTTTCAATGTAAACGAATATATTTGAATATTTTTTTATAATATCCGGGTAGAAAAGTTTTAAAATAATTCATATTCATATAATTTAATTGATATGAAAGTTAAGAAAGAAGTAGTTAATATGCAAACTAACGGATTTCTGCCTAGAATTAAAAAAAAAATTAATAATAAATTAATAAATTTACATATTTTACCAATTACGATATAAGAAAACTACGAAAGAATGGAAAGATATGCAACTGCATTGATTTTACCACCTCGGTTTCAGAAAAAGGCAACTGTCTTTAGATTTGATTATATTAAGCAGGAAACCAGTAGCAATAAAGTTCAGAAATGTTAAAAAAATTTAAAATAACAAAAAAAAATATTTGAAATATTTAGTTAATTAGAAATAACGTGCTTAAAACGGAAATCGATTGAGTGTTTCCGGTCGTACTTTTGACAGAGTTAATTTTTAAAATAAATAAACTTAAATGCAAAAATCAAAACAAATAATAAATGTTCATAGATAAAATATAACAAATTTGTATGGTTAGCTTGGTCTGAAGATAACTAACTGATTTGAGTTGATTTTTAAAATTGTGTACCATTATTAATCGTTATGAGTAGCACTAACCTTTTTCGCTTTCCAAGTTTGTTTTTTTCATTTCAGCGATGTGCTTTAATTGCGACTGATGCTGCTTTGGGGAATATCCCCAGTAGGGGCTCTAATTAACACAACCAAATTTATGCTGACCCGCTTATTTTTCCAAAACATATTTATTATTTTGAATTTTTATTTATTTTTACGATTTCATTAATTAATCACCACGAATCGCATCGTAAAAACTACTTATAACAATGAAAATGTTATTAGTTTCAAACAGAAATAACAGTAAGAAATATTTTGGGCATCGGTCAATGGTCATTGCCTTTAGACAAACAAAAAAAATATGTGCTTCCACTTTGAAACGAAACTAAAGCATTTTTTTAAATTAATTGCATGTCATAAGCATAATTAATTACACTCAAACAAACACTTTAGTATCCTTCAATGGTCGTAATAGCTTTTCACAGTCTTGATATGGTTTTCTAAGGGTCACTGAGGTCACCATATATGTTTCATAAAACAATAATTAAAAAATAGATTTAGTAATTTAAAAAAAAGGGTCACCAACAGTAAAAGTGCAATGAAATTTTCGTATGACAACATTTGTTGAACTTACAAAAATATAAAAAAAAATTAGGGAAAGTACAAGATTGCTACTTTAGTTAGTGCTTTGAAAAAGAATTTAATTTCATCGTACATTAGTGAACGCGAAACAAAATTACAAAAAAAAGAAATGAAAATAACAGTGTTTCCATTACAATTTTCTATGGTTTTTTTAATCGTTTTAAGTAGATGAAATAAAAAACAATTGTTGCAATTGCCAAAAAAATTTTCACGACTACTATTTTTTACAATTAAACGTTTTCTTTCATTAAATTGACTCATAAATTTGCATAAGATTTATTAAATAGAAATATAAATAAATTTAAATTTGGCTTTGCCGAAACTTCAATACCCTTCATGAAAATAATTGTTGGTTTATGTCATATTCATTAATTCACTTAAAATTATTATAATATTTTTTTGGCTATAATTTTACATTTATTTTTTTACTACAGTTTTTTCAAAAACTTAGTTATAATTATTCATAACTTTTAAAATTTTTATCTATATTTTTCTTCTGTATTTCTATTCTATTTCATAGCATCCAAAATACTACACCCTCGACAAAACACACTTATCCCTTGTTCTTACTGCAGTTTTTTGTTTATTTACATTTCATTTCATATGTCAAATATCAAATTTCAATCATTTCCCTTTTGGGAAAACTATTTTGTAATGTTGCATTTTACAGTTTTAGTGTGATTTTCCTTGATTTATTCTAAACTAAGTTAAAATTCATGAAAGCTCTTTGTCTACCAAAAATTCTGACCACACTTTGCTTATCTATAGCTTTACTTAAACATTACAAAACGTTAAAATAATATTTCTTAAAATCCGGAATTGTTAATTCCCAACACCACGATAATCGAAGGAAACTGGCCACATAAGAAGTAGGGCTTTATCTGCAAAAATTCACTAAAAGTTCACTATTATTAATACTTAAATACTGCGAATGTTTCGTCTATTAACAAATATTTAGACAGACGAACATTGCTAAATCTATTAATTTTATCATACTTATCATATTTTATCATACTTATAAATTTATCTGATATACTGCCTCAATTTATGAAGAGACCCTGTACAAAGAACCATTCAATGTGCTCAAAAACTCAAAGACTACCTTATTGTGATTAATTTCTATTTTGGTCGACTTCTTTCCAATAAGCCAAAGATTGGTAATTACTGTTGTCGGGATAGAGAGATCTCTCTTATTTCTGTTCATACGTGATAATATATAAGATTGTAACTCACCCACTCTTGAGTTTTTAATTGGGATCGCCTGTGTAACCTAACCTAACTTAAGACTTTGCCCGCAAGTCTTATAGTCAGTTTGTAATATATTTTTGCTATAGAAGAAAATTGGTATTTCTCATGCGTTTAACCGTATTGTGGTGTGAGCATTAGTTCTGTAAGAATATTTTACGTGGATATCCTTATCAGAGTAGCAGAACATCGAACGTTTTGTTTTTGCAAATAGGATGGTTAAACTTCTAAGTAAATAGGCTCATAATGGTTAAATTCAAAGACGGATTGGTCATGGATAAGCGTCTCATATGCCTTCCCAATCACAGGGAAAAGTTTAGACAAGTTGGGGAGGCGCTTCGATAATACAATTCATTTTGGAGACATGATACAACTATGTAATTCGAATCTGTTAAATGCATTTAAAGGAAAACAAAACTGTCCAAGTCAACAATATGAACTTGAACTTAGAGTGGTCGTTGGTACAAAAAATAGTTTTTAAGTTAGTAGGACATCATTAATGTGATGATGACATGAAATTTCTTTTCCAAGATAAAGTAACTCAAAATCAATTCGCTGTTAAGTGAAATTATTGACAAAGCTAACCAAATCTATTTAAATTTTATTTTTTGACTTTCAAGTCACGTGATGGGGATGGGGCGTACTTTAGTGTCATTTAAAAGGCTTTTTTATCTTTTAAATCATAAATATAAATTTATTACAATATTCGTTAGTTAATTTCTGTTTTAGCATATATTTTTAAATAATAAAAATTACATAACAAAAATAAAATAATAAAAATTAATTTATATGCAATAATATTTGAAAATTTATTTTCTTTATTTCAATTTTAAAATGTTTTGTCGAATAACAAGAATTTATTTGCAAAAATCCAGCATTTTTATTTTATATACTTTTTAGCTGATATGGTCATCAGAAAGCTATTTCCCATCTTTCGTAAGCTGCTGCGGCTGCTGCTGCTGTTGCCATTGCTGCGTGGGCAGAAGCCAACGCACAACAGTCAATAAAAGATACAACAGCAACGACTGCAGTTTAAGATGTTTTGACATTTTTGCAAATATGAAATGACATTTCCAATGCAATAAAATTACTGAATTTTGCTAACCCAAAAAGTGGGTGCGGTGCAGTACAGTTCAGAGAATAACTGTTCGAACCTAGACGTAGACGTTTATTATGTGTACGTAACATAAAAAAAATTGTTGAAACGCAGTCGGTAGGATTCGAACCTACGCTCCCAGAGGGAATCTGATTTCTAGTCAGACGCCTTAACCGCTCGGCCACGACTGCCGATAATCAAAAACTTAATAATTTGCAATATATTTGAAATTAATAACTAATAAATATTTTCTTTATTTTAAAATAAGATAATAAAACTAAAAAGCAATTTATTTTTTTAATTTAAAAATAGGCACGCATAAGCACATACTTACCTACCTACCTATATGAGTTTGTATGGTATGAATAGATAATTAAAAAATATATACAATAGATTTAAAATTATAGATATGAGATTTAAGTTAATGAAGTAAAAGCGATATTTTTTATAATTTGTCAAAATAAATAATAAAATGGAAAAATTTTTTTAATAATGTTAAGTGGATTAATGTATTAAAAAAATATTTCTTTTTTTCTATAAATAAAAATTTAAATTGATAAATTTGTTTGTTTTTTTTATTTTAAATTAAAAAGTAAAATATTATTTATGTGTTTTATAACCACATAAAAAAACAAACTTTCAACACTTAGATATAGAAAAATAATTTTTTTTTTTCAAAATTTTTCGCTATTTTTACCAAATTGTGAGAGATTCTTTAAATTCTTGAGCAAAATATCTTTGTCATAAATTGTTGTTGCTATATTGCTTTTTTTAAATAGTGAAATACATAAAGTAGTGCTTAGAGATAAATTTTTTTATGTGAAAGTATTGTGAACAAACTATTAGAAATGTATTACTAGTATATATTAAGTTCATTGCTTTCTAATTATTACAATAAAAGTTTTTAATTAAAAATTATTTTTGTCCCATGAGAAGAAATCTATTTTGAATAGCAAAGAGGATAACAAGATATAAATAAATAAATAATATTTTTAATTTTTAGTCAATGAATTCTATGCCTGATCGTAGAGTTAGTTCGGATATTACTGAATTTCCAACATCTGTGGTCTTCGGAATAATTAGATATGAAGACAACAGGATGGATGATTTTGAATAGAAAACATTAATTAATCCTTATTAAATTAAGGTAGAATGCTTAAATGTTACGGATACACACGCTCTCGTCATGTAATTGTGAACGTTGTAAATCTGCGACAATTGAAATATATGGACTAAAAAAAAATAAGAAAAATCGAAAAACCGGGCACTCCGGTTCCGGTTGTGTACTATTTATATCTGGTAGATAGATAGACAGATTTTAAAAGTTCTATAATCCTTTGAGGATTATAGTGACAAACTCATTTTAGTTCTATAGGCGCGTAGAAGTTAAAAATGTCATTATGTTCCTTGAAGAGATTGCCTATTTCCGTTATAAGTGGATCGGCAGTTAATAAGTACCTAAGTCTTAGTCTGGTAAGACTATGACAGTGACACAGAATGTGTTCTGCTGTCTCCTTTGCTTTGTGACAAAGTATGCAGCTATCGTAATACCTACATTCGATTGATGTTTTTTGACTTCACAATGTTCAGTGAAAAACTCTGTGACAAGTCGGATGCATTTTCTGTTCAGCACTAATAGCTTCAATTTGGCATTAATTTTTTATCTTGTCTGCAAGCAATTATATTATCTCAATCAGCTTTAGCTTCTTTTTCCAGCCATTCATTAATCTTAAGTTTGCACAAGCTTCATAAAGGACAGCAGAATGGTTTTAGCTCAATGTAATATTAGGCCGCTCCTTTTCTGGCGAGTTCATCTCCTTTCTCGTTTCGCTCAAATCCGCTGTTATCTGGGATCCATGCTAATTTAAGAAAGTTGTAAATTCCATTTATATAAATATAACAATAGTGTGACTATGCTCATAAATTTCCTTCAGTGAAAGGCTGACAGATTAAAACCTGAACAATTTCATCGATTGTATAATATGGATCAATTGCAGTATTCCATAGGATCTTTATTCATTTTGCATGATAGAATATAATCGGTCAACGTGATGATTGGTGGAATATCGAAAATGATAAAAATATACTTTATTGTCAGATAATGAGTTACATCATTGTACTTTAACAATTTCAAAACAAAACAAAAACATCATATTTTAAACTCGGTTTTTACTGCACAAATAATATATTCGTGTACATACAGCTTAAGGATTTATTTTGAAGTTGGCTTCAGCCCATTATACCTACGCCTCCCTTTGGAAGGTGTCTAATAATAGTCAAGTATATATAATATGGTATAGTATAGTATATATATATATAGTATAGTATAGTATGGTATACATATATATGTAAAGTGATATATATAAGTGTAAATATATATATATAAAGTGTAAAGTGTATATATATATATGTATAAAGTAAATTATTTGGCAGGGTACGAGTTCAATTATTGGTACTTGCAGTTTCAAAAATTTATTTTCGAATAATTAAATACAAGAAATATTTTCAAGACCACTATTGATGGGTATTTGGCAATACTCGGCCAAAAATTTGATTAATTAAAGTAATATAAAAAACAAAATTTTTGTTGTTGTAGTTCACTACTGTTCGAAAAACCTCTTTATAAAATAAGATAACTAAAAGTCTTTATTTATATATTCTTCAAATATTTAATAATATAAATTATTAATGCAAGATGTAATAATTATTAATTTTATAAAAACAAGAAAAAACCAAAAAATGTTATATTTTTAATAAAATACTTATTTCAAAATAATTATTATTACAATAATAAAACAAATGATAATTTTTACAAAAAAAAAAAAAATAATAGAAACATGCTTTTTATTATTTTCTTTAAAAATTAAACAAAAATTTATTTGATAAAATTGAAAAAAACAAAAAATTAATTTAAATAAAAAAACAACATTGTTTTCAAATGATAAACAATAAATAGAAATATTTTTGTAAAAAAGTAAAGATTGCAAAATTATTAATGACATTCAAGACCTTTTTTGCATTGTTGTAAGAGGCGAATAACCAACCACGGATTGAGATATTTTGCGTACAAAGCGCGGCAAGCCAAGCAAACGCCGGCAGCTTGCAAATTGACAAAATATTTTAAATTTCATTGAAATGATTAGCGTAGCGGATACTTGGCTCTTGTCACTGAAATGAGTTACTACACAATCCGAAGCGTGTTAAATTGCAAATATAAATAAATACAAGCTTCGGTTTTCAAGCAACAACAAATGAATTTAATTTAAATGAATGTTTGTGGCAAAAGATACATCGATTTGGAATGCCAACAAGATACTTTTTGTCGCCTATTCACATGCATTTTGATTTGTTAAATAATACAATTCAATGTTTCAATTTTTGATTTGGTTGTAATAATACTTTTTCTGTAGCTTGAAAAAAAAAAAATCTCTAAAAGTTATTTAATACATTTGAATTGCAACAATATTGAAAGTGAAGACTAAAAATTGAGATAGTTTGATGTCCATACTTGCATCAAAAATATATTGAATGATGAGTAAAAAATGTTCGAACTTCGCTACGAAGCCCTAAATAAATAAGTAAATGAGGGCAACCAACATTCGTTATTTTTACGACTTATGGAATTTACAAGCATTTTAATATCAATTTACAATAAAATCGAGTTTGTGATATATATAATTTTTCCTTTGATGTAATTAATTTTGTTGCATCCGCCAGAAACCGTTACGTGTTGAATCCGATCATGATCGCACAATAAATTCCACACTTCGGTATGCGTTGGCGTGACGGAAGTGCCAAAAGTAACTGTTCCAAGAGAAATTTTTCGAATTCCTTTAAGTTAAGCGGATTTCGAAAATAAAATAAAAGCACTCGTAAACGGCTTAAAAAGGTTAAATTACAATCGCCGACAATCGCATTATGCACAAAACAAATGAATCATATTTAAAATGCAGTAGGATTGCTTTTTTTACTTTTTTTAACAAAAAAAAAGTCAAATAAATAATAAAAAATGTTAATCGATTTTAAGCTTTAGTTTGGTGTATATGGAATGCTTAATCCAAATATTTTGCAATTTAAATCAAGATATTTACATTAAGACTTTTTATTGAGGTAAGTGTCATACTAATGTCCTGAGAATGCAGCAAAATTATATTTTTAAATAAAAGTACTTATGAATTTTATTTGATTACGAGAAAGATATATAATATTTCCCGTAACTTATTAGCCGAAAAGTTATAACGAGAAGGGAAACGAATTAAGCACCACAGAAAAGAAAATTTCGACTAACTTGTCGATAAACATCGAAGCAATGGCAAGGAACCTTAATACAACTTAAGAAATTTAATTTTTAAAATGAAATAAAATACATTAATATCATAGATTATTATTATGTTGAGGCTAGTTGAGTCAATGCACTTGAGCACTTTTACTCCCTATTAACTGCGAGGTTTTTTCATAACCCCTCTCCATGTTTTGACTGAATTATTATTTATTACTTCATCAGACTAAGCAATAATTGACCTCAGATCTGCATACCTCCCCTCAGGCGCCTGCAACCATTCTGAGATTTGATAATGCGGTGCTGGTAAGCCCGTCAGTTTTCGTAAATAGTTGCAGCGCGCTCTATTTTTTACGTATTTTTTAATCGGACCAAACTTGAAGTCCCTGAGGATGTCATTCGTCCTAATGCACCATAGCACCTTGAAAAGTCTTCTCAGAGTCTGGCTTTGTGCAATTTCTAGTTGGCGAATAGTAGTGTTTGAGACCTTGCTAAACGCTACACATCCATATAGAAGTGACGGTTGAATTATTTGGTTATATAACAGCCTTCTGTTGTTATAGCGGTTGGAGGTGATGAAGAATTTTGGCACAGTTAATTCTTTTCAGTTGAACATGTTTAAGCCATGTGAATCGTTTGTACACCGTGATACCTAGATATTTAATGCTGTCCTCCCAGTTTATTACCATATCTACCACTCTCATTCTCGATGAGTTCTGTCTCCACTTATGCGTAATAAACATACTATGTTGATCTCTATAAAATTATATAAATGTTCGTATATTTTAGGCTTGTAGGAGTTTAATTTTCAGTTAATTCAAACAGTATTATTAAGAATTACTTCGTTACAATGGTTATTGTTTCTATAAAAAATAATTTAGTAAGGAGGGACCTCACTATTGTATGGACTAAATTACAGTACCGTAATCTAAAATTATGTCTTCATCGAAAATTGTCTAAAATAATCTAATTGTATCACATTTTTTTTGGTTTCTTGTAGAAATCAAAGCTGTTGCACATTAATAGCAATAGATTGGCGAATAAATTAATCATTAATCATGGAACCATAGCGTTTCCCAACTGTGATTGTTGGATCTGTAACACGAAATGGCATGTCGTGTTGTCTTGTTGACACTAAAGCTGTGGCACATTAGTAGCATTTAATTGTAGAACAAAAGTCTTTACTCATGGATCCATAGTATCTTCTATAAACATTACCACGACCATGTTTAAAAAAATATGATCCCATAATATCACCAGCTATATAACATCTACCAACTCTATACATTTTTAAATAGTAAAACACACTGAATATAAATCAGCTGTCATTTACACGAAACACCCTCTTAGGTTTAAATTAAGTTATGTGCTGACGGTATGCCTGAGTGAAGTTGAAGGGTTAGTTTTGTAATTGATGTAGTGTACTGTTTTAAGTCTAATATTCAATATGTTAAAACAAATCTGATTTAAACGTTTTAAGTCCAATATTTTAAAATTGTAATGCTCTACAAAAATTGCTTACTCTCCTTCAGTCCTTGGTAACAACAAATTATTTTTTTTATTTTAGTAATCGTACATATACATAAATTAACATCAAACAGACGAATAACTTTCTACAGAAACTTATGTATCAATATTTACTTTTAAATTGTCCAAATATTTTTATATCACTGTATCTCTACGTAAATACAAACTACCCTCATTTCCAAATAACATATCATCATATCATATCACAGAATCGCATCAATGGCATCGAGAACTATAGCTAATGCCAAAATAAAACATTTTTTTTTTAATATTTATTTCTCATCTAATTACTACGACCATCTGCATGTTTT